CTCTGACCCGGCCGTGTACCGCAAGGTAAAGATAGATTCCTCCTGGGTACCGCTCTGACCCGGCCGTGTACCGCAAGGTAAAGATAGATACCTCCTGGGTACCGCTCTGACCCGGCCGTGTTCCGCAAGGTAAAGATAGATACCTCCCGGGTACCGCTCTGGCCCGGCCGTGTATCGCAAGGTAAAGATAAATACATCCTGGGTACCGCACTTGCTCGGCCGTGTATCTCAGAGTAAAGATAGATACCTCCGAGGTAACGCCCTGGTTCGGCCCTGTATCCACTGTTTACTTATATACTAGTAAGCTAGGGTTTTCAGCCAGCGAGACTCTAAGTACTGTGCCTGATTTCGAACTATCACTTCAATATATCTATATTAAAGACTAGTTTGCTATTTTAGTATGTTGGTGACCTGTGTTCACTCCACTTCCTCTTCAGAACACCTCGGATTTTCCTGCTGTGTTATCTGGGGTTCATGATGTCTCTCCTTTTCATACTGCTTTATATCGAGTTTGAGGTGGACATTTTGCTTTATATTTCTGTTCCATGTTATTTGTCATATAAAACACTTTATGGTTATTATAGAGCGATGATCAAGGTTGCAATAGCAGAGAAGGCCCGATACATTTCCCATGGTGCAACAGGAAAGGGAAATGACCAGATCCGCTTTGAGCTTGGGGCGTATGCGTTACATCCTAATGTTGAGGTGAGCAGTTACTACTGGTACTATAATCTAGTCAATGTAAATAATGGAATTCATGTGTAAGTCTTCATGTTTTCTTGAATACAAATGAGAATACAATAAATCTTGTTGAAAGTAGATATATACATAGGAGAGTACTGATAATATTTATTCTGCTGATACCTGATTAAGATATCTTATTATTCATTATAAACGGCTATACTTTCACATTCATACAACGGACTCATTATAAACGGCTATACTTTCACATTCATACATTCACAAAAGCTAGCTTCAATTCCTTTTTCATGACATCCCTGACCTCAAAGAAGAAATTACTTAAATTGATTCCAGGATTTCGGATAAATGACTACCTGGTTTTAGATTATTGAGCATTCAAAGCGTCTAATCAGACACAAACATGTCTAACGTTATTGCAGGTAATAGCGCCATGGAAAATGCCCGAGTTCTACAACCGATTTGAAGGCCGGAACGCTCTGTTTGAATACGCCAAGGTGTGTCTTACTTCACCATAACCTAGAGAAACAGGCATATCTTACAATACATTGTTTGCTGTATTTGTTTTAACATTCAGTAATTGGTTTTGATTTTTTTGTTGATAGCATAACTAACAACAGCCCTCGGAAATATCGAGCGATGTAACCCGAGTTCCCTGTTTGTTTTGTTTGATTTGAGTTATCGGCTATCCATGTCAATATGAAGACTTCAGGGAACACCTGTTGTCCAGTTTCCTGTATTCAGTTACAAGGAAATAGAGCTATAGCTGTGTCGCTAGTCGCTTTGCTAAAATATCCCGCTTTGACAATATCAAAATCAAAAATGATTACTATTCATTTCACTTTATCTTTGCAATGCATTCAGTTACATTTAACAGATTCTTTTTTTTGAGATCGAAGGTCAGATATATAACAGTCGTTGTATAGCGTATATATTCGTATTGACGATGTTGGTATAATTACAGAAACACGGCATCCCCTTACCTGTGACACCGAAATCCCCTTGGAGTATGGACGCTAACTTGATGCATATAAGGTAGTACTATTCTGTTAGTCAACTAGTATGTTGTAAATGAAGTTATCATTTCATGCTCACGAGTTGGGTAAATATCTTTTGTTCTGTATTTTTCACGATTGTGTATAACGAAAGGAAAAATATGAAGAGCATCGAATATGACTGTTATTCATCTTCAAAACAATTGCTGTTTATAACGTTTTTCTGTATAAAGACATTGGTTTCCGCGAAACTCTCTGATGGGTCGATTTAATGTTAGGACAACAAAAAATGATGTTTTTCACAATAGAAAATTAACTTCATTTTCACTGTATAACCTTATATGCGACTGTAAACATGTACTAAATATGTATATTTGAAGTACATTTAATTGTAAATATCAAGTGAACGTTAACCGTGCGTGTATATGGATACAATGAAATGTGGTGATCCAGCATAAACACCTACCCCTCACTAAACTCACACGTCTTCTTTTACTACTTTACTCCTCTTCAGTTACGAATCAGGAATTCTTGAGGACCCTAAGACCGAGTTCCCTAAGGATATGCTCCAGATGGCCGTCCACCCAGAGGATGCCCCTGATAAGCCAGAGAGGCTGGAAATCGAGTTCAAAAATGGTCAGTGAAACATTGATGTTTGAGGAAAGTCAGCTCTGTGTGAATAAAAAACAAGTGTAATTTCTGAGACTCTACAAAATATTCTGAGGTCCAAGATAAGTTAGCGCTAAACTGCAATACCATTGAACAATTGCGTAGCCTTTCATTACAACCAACGAGTGGTTATATCGACCGGAGAAAACAGTTCGTAAGGACAAAATCTGAGAGAAAGATTCTTTAAATTGATAAAATCACTACAAAAGGATACAAGCGTGCTGCTATTTTGCAATCTTTCATATTTTTTCGAGTATTCATGATGCCTGATTGGTAAACTCATGAAAGGAAACAAAAAAGCGAACATTGACACAAAGCGTATATTTTGTTTTTGGTAAAATGATGTAATTAAATATCAGTTTTTTTGAGCCATAGACGAAAGATAAACGTTACACACGCCTTTTAAAAGATTTTTGTAATAGATACACTATGCCAAAGATGAATTATACTGCAACAAAATAAAATAAACTGTTTCTATTTACGTTAACGAGAAAATAACTAATTAGTCTAAAAGTATATTATTAAGTTATTCAATGATTTTATTTACAAAACTAAATATAAACCAACTTCATTTGGAACAATAAAGCATGATTTTTTTTTCATTACTTGAATATGACATGTATTTTCAACAACAACAAAAAATAAATAAAACATATCAAGAAATAATGTTTAAAATGTGCCGTAAATTAATCGCAATTACATGCAAAACCTCGTTAAGTTATTGCCAGTAAATAAATAAAATGTATTCTTCCAAACGATGTTAGGGAAATATATATCCTAGACTCCAAATGAAAACAATAAAAGTTTGACACAAGGTGAATTTATAAGATAGATTGCATCCAAATTAAAAAATGGCTGTTGATATAATCACTATAAAAGCTAAGTAGGAAACACCTATTTCAACATTAATTATGGCTTTACAGCGAGCCAAACAAAGTAAACATTTCTATTGCACCGTAAGGTGTGTGCGACTATTCAGGACTCGTTAGTAATTATGATAACATGACAATGTCACTACCAACAGGTTTACCTGTCAATGTCACCAATCTAGAGGATGGTACGGTAAAGGAGGACGCTCTGGATCTCTTCCTATACCTGAACAAAATTGGGTACGTATACTTCCTATACCTGAACAAAATTGGGTACGTATCCTTCCTATACCTTAACAAAATTGGGTACTATACTTGATATACCTCAACCAAAATTGGGTACGTATACTTGATATACCTCTACGAAAATTTATGTACGTATACTTCCTATACCTTAACAAAATTGGGTACGTATACTTGATATACCTCTACGAAAATTTATGTACGTATACTTCCTATACCTTAACAAAATTGGGTACGTATACTTGATATACCTCAACCAAAATTGGGTACGTATACTTGATATACCTCTACCAAAATTGGGTACGTATACTTCCTATACCTTAACAAAATCGGGTACGTATACTTCCTATACCTCTACCAAAATTGGGTACGTATACTTCCTATACCTGAACAAATTTGGATACGTATACTTGATATACCTTTACAAAATTGGGTACGTATACTTGATATACCTTGACAAAATCGGGTACGTATACTTCCTATACCTCAACCAAAATTGGGTACGTATACTTGATATACCTTAACAAAATTGGGTACGTATACTTCCTATACCTTAACAAAATTGGGTACGTATACTTGATATACCTTGACAAAATCGGGGACGTATACTTCCTATACCTTAACAAAATTGGGTACGTATACTTGATATACCTCTACCAAAATTGGGTACGTATACTTCCTATACCTCAACCAAATTTGGGTTCGTATACTTGATATACCTTGACAAAATTGGGTACGTATACTTCCTATACCTCAACCAAAATCGGGTACGTATACTTGATATACCTCTACCAAAATTGGGTACGTATACTTGATATACCTTAACAAAATCGGGTACGTATACTTGATATACCTCAACCAAAATTGGGTACGTATACTTGATATACCTCAACAAAATCGGGTACGTATGCTTGATATACCTCAACAAAATTGGGTATGTATACTTGATATACCTCTACCAAAATTGGGTACGTATACTTCCTATACCTTGACAAAATTGGGTACGTATACTTCCTATACCTTGACAAAATCGGGTACGTATACTTGATATACCTTAACAAAATCGGGGACGGATACTTCCTATACCTCAACGTACAACACCTTCTCCAATCTCAAGTTAAATACCTAAGACGTGTGTGTAATGTGTCGTCTTTTTATGTTTTCATTTTCAGAATTGTATATGTGAGTTTAGATTTGAAACAATTGCACGAGAACAGAGTTACATATCTATAAGATTTATTGATTTCCACGTCCTTCCAGGGGGAAACATGGAGTGGGAGTTATAGACATAGTGGAGAACAGGTTTATCGGCATGAAGTCCCGAGGTAAGATCAACTCGACAACTTCTCAGATACACTCGATCAAGATGGGCATAACATGTATGCAAATGTAGCTTTCCGAACTGAGAAAGAGGAAAACACCGAAAACTTTAAAAGACAGTGTGACTTTATAAAATAAATATCATATATTCGTAAGTGAAAACATGTTTTGATTATGCCTGTGCTTTTTATTGCGTTGATATTATTTTCGAAAATATATTACAAATCGAAGTTTGAAAGAAATTCTGCGTATGGTTGTCGTCAGATCTCTTTATGGTTCTCTGAAATGATTTTCAAAATGCTGATAAATTGCATAATAAAAACAGTCCTTGTCGTGAAGAAAGTCTCGGTTTAGTCCACTGTTTCTATGTGACTAGGTATCTACGAGACTCCAGGAGGCGCTATTTTGGCCACTGCTCACATCGACATGGAAGTGTTCACCATGGATAAGGTACGCACGTAGTGGGTCTAGTGAAGCAGAAAAGAGGTGTCATGACTGCGTTTTAATACGGTAGTGATAGTGTGTTTTCATAAGGTAATATGGTATTAGTGGCACAGGGATTAGTAATGCAATGGTATCGGTTATGCTTTTAGTATCTGCGATAATGTTAGTGACACAGTGGAGTATTCATTTGAATATATTTTGTATGATCATAATAGTACCTAAGCAACGTAACAATATGATTGGATAACGCACACTCCTGCCGGTTGCATAGCAATGGTCCATTGTTTTGCATACAATCGTATTCGTGGTACGGGCAAAGTAACTTCCTATATATAGTTAATTTTATAAATGCAATTGTTTTCACGAGCTTCCCGTTCAAGATTGCAGTAATATGTATATATGTGTTAAATTTACGCCTTTGGTTAACCTAGTAGGAGTTGTACAGTTATTTCTACAGTATACAAAACATTGCTGAACGAGTACTACTTGGAATTACAGGAAGTGCGAAGGATCAAAAGAGAACTCGATGTCAAATTTTCTGATCAAGTTTACAGAGGTAAATCATTATGCTACGTGTAGTTAATTTGTAGACTGTTCCACATGCGTTATATACGAGTGCTTCATACATATTAAAGGAATACTTCAAAGAATAATTATTTTCTGTGTAATTGGTATGTACCTTCTGTACATTATACGAGCGATACTCTATCACACAAAAACTACACGTGATATACGTATGTATGGAATACAATATCTTTTTGATACACCTTTTGTTTCTGTTCTTTGCCGTTCGTGTTCTGTCCTACATGGATATTGTTTCTGTTTCTTGACGTTATTCCCATGCCTTTTGCCGATGTTCTTTGATATTCGTAGTTTTATTTTCCAGAGGTTTGAACTACATATTTCCGTTGTTTCCAATTCTTTATATTTTGTTCTGTGTATTTCTATATCTGCTATTTTCTATTCTGTTTTGTCTAAGATGTGGTCCATGCACTTTGATAATTTCGGTTGTTTGCTGTTTTCTTTGGTTTGAGACCATAAACTGTATCATAAAATCAGATGATTTTCGTCGTTTTCTTCTCTCCAGTGGTTTGTTTTGTGTACTTCGATTCCCATTTCTGTTTTCTAGAGCTTTGTTAAGGGTTTGGGTTTGTGTACTTCCATTGTCTTTTGTATGCTTTTCGATTTCCGTTATTTTCTATTATCCAAACTTTAGATCCATGAACATCGTTTTCCATAGTTGTCTATATCCAAGGCTTTGGTCAATATCCTTTGATGTTTGATCTGTCCTTCGTGGCGTTATCCTGTACATTTTTATTTCTGTTAGTTGTTTTCTGTTTTCTAGGGTTTTGGTTCAGTCCGGAGTGCGAGTTTACCCGCTACTGTATCAATAAGAGCCAGGAGCACGTAGAGGGGACGGTGCGCGTGAAGGTCTATAAGGGGTCCATCTACGTCATAGCGAGACACTCTCCACTCAGTCTATATAACGAAGAGCTCGTCAGGTAACTGCAAAACCTATGTTAAGGTAGTTTTGTATTTGATTAGTTATTCAGATAGTATACTATCGAGCCAATCAAACAGGTTTCATTAAGTTTGTACAGCGTAACTGTTTTCATTGGATATATGAACACAGGAAGAGGTTCTCACCAATTCGATACAAAATGTGGTTGAAATTGGCCTGATTACATTTGAGAAGTGGAAAATGGCTTTCCCACAATTCCCCATTTGCGTTCCACCCTTCTGTTCTAAATATGTAATTAACTCCCATATGGTAAAGGAATAATTTACACCAAATTCAGCTGGAAAATGTCAAACCGTAATTACGGAGTAGTTTTCTTAAGGTTTGCCCTGATTTCTCTTCCCAGATTATGCTCAACTGACTCCAGGGAGACACGTTTTTCCTTGTTAAACCATAAAACGTGTAGCCCAGGATCGTGTCGAGCCAAGTTAGGTTTGATAATTTGAATTGAATTTAAAAAACGCTTTATTTAGTATTATTTTGAAGATTGACGTCCTTTTCCAGGAGCTCATTTGCTCCATGCATAAAACATTAATTCCTCTTGGCCAATGGATGTGTCATGGCAAAATGTCAATTGATATTTGATGAGTAGCTTTTTTTCCCAAATATTTAGACTTACTAGTACCTTACGTTCCTTATTGTGCCCACCTTTGTCTCAGGGGAGCACTTCCTGTATCTACATGACAGTGAACTCCCAGGCCTGGATGTTTCACAAAAGGTTAGGTTAGACACGCTGATGGAAAATACCCCCAAGTCAAGGAATGCACTACACCCAGTTTAGTTACCATCTATTCTGTCATTCTTAAAGAGTAGAGTCGCAGGGGAAAAGGACGGACGACAGGTACTTTGAAATTGAGCTTATAAAATCTATATCAAATATGATGACTGTGTAACTTCATGGAAAATCTCCTTATCCTTAGACAGTTAGGTTCATATTTTTTGTCTTGATATGTACGTTGAGAATACATTATTTCAAATGTTTACGATATTTCAGTATGAACGTCCAAGGCAACTATGATCCAGTAGATGCTAAAGGCTTCATCAAGGTCAATGCTCTCAGGTAAGTGATGAAACAAATGGCGAGATCCAGAGGAAAGTAGGTAAACAAATTATATTGCTGTCTGAATGATGGTGGCAAGGTTAAATCTGACGCACGTAAGGGTCAACTTAGGGCGCCATCAATGTCAATGTTTAATTTGGTCAACTAAGGCGGCTGGTCAATTCTAATAGGTAACTTTGTCAATAAATAACGCTTGTGTGGTCAATGCTAAGAGGGAAGTAGGCTATCACAGAAACTATAAATAGGATCCCTCATCGTGTGATGTTGTTGGTGACCGTGACATTATTGCGACTCCACGGTTTTGGTTTCTTACCTAATCGTTTCAATCGTGTGGCGTTTCCTGATATACTTAGTAAGTAGAAATTTCCTCTTAAACACGTCAATGATTAGGCCAGAAAACACAGGTCGCATTGATCCTAGTGAATTACAATATAAACGGTTAGGCTGTATACGAGTTCACAATAAAAGTAGTCCGAGTTAGAATATCATTTATGTTCTTTTGAATCTGTTCTTGTGTATATAAGATTATATCATGCCACATTTCGCACGTAACTCGTACATATGTTTGACAAACAGTTAGTAAAGTGATGTTTGAAACACAACTCGGACATGCTATGATACATTATATTTTGTTGTAGACTACAAGAGTACGAGCGACTACGCCACAAGCTGGGTCAGAGTTAGCATGCAGTATTGGATGTGATGTATTGACACGGAACAGTTCTACCTAATGTGAAAAGATAACTAGTTTATTTGGATTAATAATCAGTTAAGTTTGTTTAGGCTTACAAATGTGTGTTGTTGTTGTTGTTGTTGTTGTTTGTTGTTGTTGTTGTTGTTGTTGTTGTTGTTGTTGTTACGTGCTTACACGTTAGTGTATTGGACAGTCTATATCAAATCCATATTAAAATTATATATTATAGCTTATATGTATACATATTTATTACAGATTTACTGTCGTAACATATCAATAGTGCAATATACCACGTATACAATGTACCATGTATACAATATACCATGTATACAATATACCATGTATACAATGTACCATGTATACAATATACCATGTATACAATGTACCATGTATACAATATACCATGTATACAATGTACCATGTATACAATATACCATGTATACAATGTACCATGTATACAATATACCATGTATACAATGTACCATGTATACAATATACCATGTATACAATGTACCATGTATACAATATACCATGTATACAATGTACCATGTATACAATATACCATGTATACAATGTACCATGTATACAATATACCATGTATACAATGTACCATGTATACAATATACCATGTATACAATGTACCATGTATACAATATACCATGTATACAATGTACCATGTATACAATATACCATGTATACAATGTACCATGTATACAATATACCATGTATACAATGTACCATGTATACAATATACCATGTATACAATGTACCATGTATACAATATACCATGTATAAAATATACCATGTATACAATGTACCATGTATACAATATACCACGTATACAATGTACCGTGTATGGTATGCAATTTTATGATAGTTTAAGCATTTAGAATATTTAATGGTACATGTACATCTTTATTATTTAACCAATAAAATAATGTTTTATTTTCACTTTTTTAGTGTTGATTATGAACTGTCTACCTTATATTAATACATATCGTTATCCTGCAAAACAACTGCATGTATGTATTGTGTTAAACTAATAGGACTGAACACATTAGAACGAATCGAACAATGTGGAGAAACATTCTAAAAAAAGGAAAGGAATTCATCAAGAGACCCATTTTTTTACACCAATGAAAGGTCAGAGCGTCCATATAGTATTCTTGTATGGTCACAAAAAAGTTATAGAAACACTTAACCGTGACAAGGATATATGCGCTGATGTTAAGATAACTGCGGCAGCCATTCTTATAAATTCAAAAATGTCTCAGAAAAGGAGACGTCAGAGCAGCCATCACGTTTTTTGGATCAGCATGAAAAGTAAGAACCCTTGGTGGAGACCTCATACGTCATCTGTGTGAGGTTTGGAGCCTTTCGCTTCAATCATTCTAGGGAATTCAAAAATAGAAAAAAAAAGTTTCAACCAGTTACAGGATATGATGGTGCCAAATCAGAGGCCAGGACGGCCATCCTTTCGGATCGGCACAACTAGGTCAGCAAATGTGTAATGGATCTTGAGTAATTCGTTTCAGTTGTTAAGAACTCCGCGCAAATTTCAATTGGTAACTAACAAAGCACGACAACGGACCAAGACGCAGAGGTATAGCTCATATGATGAATCAGTGAGCTAAACAGCAAGGAATACGTCAGATTACAAAGTATATGTCAATGTATGAATAGTTTAAAGAAGATGCATACCGGATGGGTTAGCGGTGTTAGTGTGTAGTTCCGAACGAAGGTTACGTCGTTGATGTTTGGGGGTAGGTTAAAGGTGTGGACTTGGTGATGTTAGGGGTAGGTTAAAGGTGTTTGGTGTTAGTGTGGAGATGGTGGTGTTAGAGGTAGGTTAAAGGTGTTTGGTGTTGGTGTGGAGCTGGTGGTGTTAGGGTAGGTTAAAAGTGTGGAGCTGGTGGTGTTATCGGTAGGAAAAAGGTGTTTGGTGTTGGTGTGGAGCTGGTTTTTGGATATAATTTGCTTTTGCCTCACGAATCAAGTCAATAGTTTCATTCCTGAGTATACGAAATCTTTCCCAGTAGTGCGGATTATTTGTTACTTTGGCCTTTCTATGAATTCTATTACGTTGTCTCATTTTCAGCCTAATAATGTTATTCATCCATGGCTTATCATTTGGGCGTACAGTAATAACTTTGGTAGGGATGAAACTATTGACTTGTTCTATGATTGAATTAATTATGAATGAGTTAAATGCATCAGAGTCCAGATTTAATGACAAATTCAACCAATCAATATTAAGAAGAGCATTATTCATACTTTCAAAATCAGCTTCATCATATTTCAAGATAGTTTTCTTATAATTCACTTGTTTAAATACAGTAAAAGAGATTTGGGCATGAACTGATGAATGGTCACTACAGAATGGTGGTGATACATAAGTATTTTTAATTAAGTTTAGGTTGTTAGTAAAGATGACATCAATAGAAGTGGCACTAGCAGGTGTTANTTTGTGTTTGGTGTGGGTATGGTGTTAGAGGTAGGTTAAAGGTGTGGAGCTGGTGGTGTTAGGGGTAGGTTAAATGTGTTTGGTGTAGGTGTGGAGCTAGTGGTGTTAGGGTAGGTTAAATGTGTTTGGTGTGGTTGTGGAGCAGGTGGTGTTAGGGGTAGGTTAAAAGTGTGGAGCTCGTGGTGTTAGGGGTAGGTTAAAGGTGTTGAGCTGTTGGTGTTAGGGGTAGTTACAGTTGTGGAGCTAGTGGTGTAAGGGGTTGGTTAAAGGTGTGGAGCTGGTGATGTTAGGGGTAGGTTAAATGTGTGGAGCTGGTGGTGTGTGGGGTAGGTTAAAGGTGTGGAGCTGGTGGTGTAAGGGATGGGTTAAAGGTGTAGAGATGGTGGTGTTAGGGGTAGGTTAAAGGTGTGGAGCTTGTGGTGTTAGGGTTGGGTTAAAGGTGTTTGGTGTAGGTGTGGAGCTGGTGGTGTTAGCAGCAGGTTAAAGGTGTGGAGCTGGTGATGTTAGGGGAAGGTTAAAGGTGTGGAGCTGGTGGTGTTAGGGGTAGGTTAAAGGTGTGGAGCTTGTGGTGTTAGGGTGGGTTAAAGGTGTTTGGTGTAGGTGTGGAGCTGGTGGTGTTAGCGGTATGTCAACGGTGTGGAGCTGGTGATGTTGTGGAAGGTTAAAGGTGTGGACCCTGGTGATGTTAGGGGTAGGTTAAAGGTGTGGAGCTGGTGGCGTTAGGGGTAGGTTAAAGGTGTGGAGCTGGTGGCGTTAGGGGTGGGTTAAAGGTGTGGAGCTGGTGGCGTTAGGGTAGGTTAAAGGTGTGGAGCTGTTGATGTTAGGGGTAGGTTAAAGGTGTGGAGCTGGTGGTGTTAGGGGTGGTTTAAAGGTGTGGAGCTGGTGGCGTTAGGGTAAGGTTAAAGGTGTGGAGCTGGTGGCGTTAGGGGTGGGTTAAAGGTGTGGAGCTGGTGGCGTTAGGGGTAGGTTAAAGGTGTGGAGCTGGTGGTGTTAAGGGTAGGTTAAATTTGTGGAGCTGGTGGCGTTAGGGGTAGGTTAAAGGTGTGGAGCTGGTGGTGTTAGGGGTAGGTTAAAGGTGTTTGATGTGGAGCTTGTGGTGTAAGAGATTGGTTTTTCATGATTTGAGCTAATGATACATTGGTAGTAATTCAATATGGTGTTAGGGGTAGGTTAAAGGTGTGGAGCGAGTGGTGTTAGGGGTAGGTTAAAGGTGTGGAGTTAGTGGTGTTAGGGGTAGGTTAAAGGTGTTAGGTGTGGGTGTGGAGCTGGTGGTGTTAGGTGTGGGTGTGGAGTTGGTGGTGTTAGGGGTAGGTTAAAAGTGTGAAGCTGGTGGTGTTAGGGGTGGGTTAAAGGTGTGGTGCTTGTGGTGTTAGCGGTAGGATAAAGGTGAGGAGCTGGTGGTGTTAGTGGTAGGTTAAAGGTGTGGAGCTGGTGATGTTAGGGGTAGGTTAAAAGTGTGGAGCTGGTGGTGTAAGGGGTAGGAAAAAGGTGTTTGGTGTTGGTGTGGAGCTGGTGGTGTTAGGGGGAGGTTAAAGGGGTTTGATGTGGAGCTGGTGGTGTAAGAGATAGGTTTTTCATGATTAGGTTAAATGTGTTTGGTGTAGGTGTGGAGCTAGTGGTGTTAGGGTAGGTTAAATGTGGTTGATGTGGTTGTGGAGCAGGTGGTGTTAGGGGAAGGTTAAAGGTGTGGAGCTGGTGGCGTAAGGGGTAGGTTAAAGGTTTTTGGTGTTGGTGTGGAGATGGTGGTGTTAGGGGTAGGTTAAAGGTGTGGAGCTGGTGGTGTTAGTGGTAGGTTAAAGGTGTGGAGCTGGTGGTGTTAACGGTAGGATAAAGGTGTGGAGCTGGTGGTGTTAGGGTTGGGTAAAGGTGTTTGGTGTGGGTGTGGAGCTGGTGGTGTTAGGGGTAGGTTAAAGGTGTGGAGCTGGTGGCGTTAGGGGTAGGTTAAAGGTGTGGAGCTGTTGATGTTAGGGGTAGGTTAAAGGTGTTTGATGTGGAGCTGGTGGTGTAAGAGATAGGTTTTTCATGATTTGAGCTAATGATACATTGGTAGTAATACAATATGGTTATAAATGCTTCAAGTTTAAGGATAGGTCAGTAGTAACAGTGAAGTGTTGTGGATGTTACTAGGTTGGATTTGGAGCCAAGGGTGACTTACAAAATAGGGCTTAGCTGGTTGTGTTGGTTGTCATCACAATACACAGTGACCATGATATTTTACATTATTTTTACTGATGCCACTCGTGGGGTAGGAAACTGCCTCCATTCAGGATCACCTTGATTCGCCTCCATTCTCATTGTGGGGGGAATACCTAAAAACTATCTTTGTGCACTGAGTTTTAATTCCATTTCTGACAGTTAAGCTTGAGAGTAAATGTCTCAGACATATAAATGTAATAACGCACTTAGATAATCTAATCCCGTGATGTAACACACACAGATGATTTCACCTTTACAATATGTTTATTTATACATTATACAAAAACGAATAACGCTTCACGATACAGCTATTTCGTCCTCCTGGGACTTATCATGGCTAGGGCCAAAAGCGTGGAAATTGAAATTGGTCTAAACTACAGGGCAGGTGCGTAAAACCTTTTATTTGTCCCAATTTCAACAAGAGGCCCAATGGGCCTGCATCGCTCACCTGGTATTAATCTCACACATGTAATCTTAAAAGTGGACTAAAATACAGCTAAAGGCAGAATATCAGTGTTTAATTCATAAGAACCTATTAAAAGATTTAAAAATATGACGCCTGTGACCTTGAATGTCGAACAAAGACATTAGGTTGAAAGTGGGTAAAGTTGTTTGAAGATTTTAAGACATTTGACCCCTGTGACCTTGAAAGTGGGTCAAGGTTATTCATTTGAACAAACTTGGTAGC